TTTTAAACAGAGTCCTAAAGCTTAGATAAAGACAGATTTAGGCACGAGAAAGAATTCCAACAAAGGCACTGAACCCAATGCCATGAATGGCCATTGAGATACAATGAGGAGAAGTTTGGATTACAATAAGTCACAGAGTAATAAAAGGAATAATATACCCTAAAATGACAGTTCTCAAACTGTTTAGACTTGAAACACCGCTTGGAAAATGCCAGCCTTTTGCTGCTTCTATTTTTTTGACTATGGAAAAAATAATGAAGCAATTAATTATTCTATTGTAAAGAACTAAGGAAGACCATGACAGGTCAGAATGTTCCTTACGCTATGGACTCCTATTTGAAATCTCTAGGTTCCTCCTGTGAATCGTGTGTAGGCCTTTGCACACCCAATCACACGTATACTGTGCAGCAACACTAAAAGGCTGGTTAAGAATCACTTCCCTAGAACACAGATTTCACATCTCTTCCATCCCTAACTTCTAATTATACAATAACTTATATTAAAATGCATATTTGTAGCCTGGGAAACATCAACACCATTCAGACTCAGGAATTGGGCAAGCTACAAACAAGCTCCCCTACACATTCTGAAACTATGCTTCAGTTCCAGACTTCTCCCAAGAAGGTAGCAATGTGTGTATTGCTTTCTTCAGTGGGTAAACATTCATGGGAAACCATGAACCAGCAAAGCTAATTTTCTCAATTGAAACTAAACCATTTTTTCCACACAGCCCTACAAATGAATAAGACAACCCAGGGTGACATCTATAAGACTCGTATACTATATATTCTTGAATTGTAAAGCCTACTTAATTATTTTTTCCCTTATTTACTTAAGGAAAAGTTGAGACCCTTACTACCCATACTGGATATGTTGCAAAGGAGATACTATCTCCATGATTCCTTAAGAGGCATATTAGGGAGTAAAAATCAAATAAGGTATTTATTACAAGTTGGTTCAGAAAGGATAATTTATAGTTATTAAACTTAATATTTGTTACCATGTTGTATATGTGCTTAAAGCATTGGATTGAAGGGCACTTTCAGAAATGCAGAATACTAATTTCCAAGTAGATATCTATGCAAAATCTGAAATTCTGCTAAGTTAGCTGAAGTAGAGAGGATAAACAGCAGTTTTTATGGCATAAGAGTTTAACAGAAGAACATGTAACATGGAAACAAAATCTGAGTTAACTAAGGCTGTTCTAGATTTTTTTATAATCCTAACTTGAGATCTGGTCATGAGCAGAGTAAATACATTTTCATTTTTATTTTCTGCTTGGTGGAGAGGACTTAGGCAATTAGCTTTCACAGGGAAAATCCAATTGCAGGGGGATTTCATTCTAGTTTTATTGTGTTTTTCTTCTACCTGTTACCAAGATTAATTGACCAGTAAACTGAAAGCAATTGAGACAAGTAACTGTTTTTCCTTCTCCCCCTGCCTTTCCCCTCCTACATACCTGCACTTTAACCCGCCCACCCGGGCCTTTTCACCATTGTCTACTTCATGGTCAACCAGGTAACAGTTTTATAGCACTCAGTGTCTTATAAGTCTTGCGTACTCCATCATCTCATTCACCAAATCTCCTTCCACACCCCTACCATGCTACATTTCTCCTGCCAATCCATATTTGAAGTAGTGGCAAATTATTCTCCAAATAAGCTGAAAGTCTACATATGTATACATGCAAACACATGTACAACCACCACTAGTATAATTGGTGATAGAAGGAAGGGCAGAGACAAAAATAATGAACTTTAGGGGGAACCCCATGCAGAGCATTTCTCCAGAGCAACCTAGCAGGTAAGCAAATGCGACCCAAGACCACTTTTACTCTTACCCTAAAATGCCCATCAAAAAATGCAATATGTGTGTGTGTCACACTGAGGAAAACAAAGTCTTTAAACTTACAAAACAGATTTACACAGAACACAGTCCTGTCATTTTCATTCTTGCCTGCTTCCTGACCCCATGAACAGACTTGAAAGGACAAACTTTTTCTCTTCCTTTTCCCCCTTAAGCTTCTCCAATAGCATCCATTAGCACTAACCAGATAACTTCTGTTTCCCTCCCATCTACTTATGAGTGCACACCACAAAAGCAGCGTGTGTATTTTAGTAGCATATACAATGTTAGCAGTATTTATGTTTAGCATAAGTTTGGCATGTATTTTATTAGTATTCACTAATAAACTATATATAACTAGACACATGGTTAGCTGTCCACTAACCATGCAAAGACTGTAAAGCCAATACAAAATAACTAAGAATTTGTCAAGCCACTTTGGAGATCCCCCCAAAACTATCACATACATTTGTGTGTCAAGATTCCTTTCCAGGACAAGACTGACCGCAAGCCGTCATTAGCTTCTCAAGAGGCTCAAGCTCCTGCCCAAGTTACATGGGCTCTCTCTTAAGGCATGAGACATTAGGGTGACAATAAAATGATCTATCAAAGGTCTTAAAGAATGAAAACTGAATGAAAAAAAAAACCACACATCTTTTTTGCCACAACATATTTCCACTGAATCGAGAAGAGTGGCCACCTGCAGCGCCGACAGCCAACATCTCTGGACAGGCGGTGACAGCTAATTCAGACAGCCAACGTCACCCCTGCACAGGGGCTGGGAGCTCCTTCCAGCCCCCAGGAGAGGCGGGGCTGCTCTGCGGGCGGGCTCGTTCCCGGCCTGGGGAGGCCACGAAATCCAAGCAAACCGAAACCATGACAGCGACCGACCCGCTGCCCAGCAGCAGCTCCCGGCCGCCGGATGGCCTCCCCACGCCGTGGAGGACTGGCGGGGGACGTGCTGCTTCTGCAGTCAGCGAGCCCGGGGGCAGACCGCGCCGGCAGGACGGGACCGGGCTGGAGCAGGCGGCGCAAGTCAGCGCAGGGAGAGCCGGCGGGACCCGGCTACCCGGCAGGGCAGAGCAGGACAGGGCTAGGAGCCGGAAGGGAATGGCCCCGCCCTCAGCCCCGGGTGCCCGTCGCCGTCCCCCGCGGGGCGCGCTTAGGCCCGGCCGCGGCCGCCCCGCGAAGGGACACCGGCGCCGCCG